TTGTGTGCCTATTATCTGATGTAACAGGTAGCTGTATTTTTTTCAGAACTGAGCCAGACTGGTGTAGCGTGTAATAGTATCTAGACCAAGCTTCTGTATGACAACTTTGGCTTTTATTTATAAGTAAATACTGGATCTCACAAAAAATGCCAAGGTAGTAACTTCAGAGACAACAGATCTCTAACCACAGGAGGACAGCACGTACAGCAGATTGCAAACTTCTTTTTGGTGAATATACTGCTCCTAGTGGTTTTGACTGAAATACAATTCATACGTTATATCAATAATTGGTAGATTTATACCAAAAATGTACTTCTGAAATTGGAACATAGCAGTTTTTTAGCTTCCCTATAGAAATACAGGAATTGTGTGAATATGCCAAAAAGGATATTTTGTTTCCCATGAGGGTACTTCAAAGGTACATCACTTTAAACAGAAGACCTGATGATATTGTATACAGTTGGTGTACTGCAAATGGGTATTCTACAGCATATTGAAAGCGCTAGTCTCTTTTATGTTAAGGAATCAGAGATTATACTTACAGACCTAATTTCTAGAGAATCTGGGCCAAGGATTTCTCATTTCAGCTACTAAAAAATAAGCAACCTTACAGGACTACTCCATAACTCCAGAAGGGCTTGTTGTAAGATGTTTTGATTGTTGAGAGCCAGATCTAAAGACCACCGAAGCCATGGAAGGATCTTCATTAGCTTTACTGTTCTTTAAAGCAGACCAACAGTTATTTGACTACAAAGAAGTATCAGCTAATTTGATTTTTCATTAAGAAATCTGTGAAAGTGTATCTGTCAGCAATTTGTACACTCTTCAGAAAGAGATAAGGGGATGAGCGTGTAAAGTCTTCATATCAATTTGCACAGAAGTGATTTCTTTTAAAACCATGCAAAAGTTCCTGTCCAGTATGGTGGTTAAGTGTGCTTGTTGCTTTGTCATCACTGTCATCTACAGGCTCTGTGGTGGTCTCAAGAATCAGGTTTAAATTCCCTTGAAATGCAGTTTCAAATATGAGAGGACTGGAGGTGGTTGGTCATCTCCCTTGGGCTACTGAGGGAATTTCAACCACTTCCTGAATGTCAGTCACTTCGAAAGATGTTAAAAAAGAGGCATCCTCATGTACATGAAATCTAGCAGGTTTCCCTTATATCTTTTGTCAGAATGCTCTTCTCCTACATCATGTTAGAGCCTGAACGTTAGTTGTGTGTCAGCTGAAGAGATGTACAATATCAAAAAACAATGTGTGTTCAAAATGTGGCTGCTGTTTTAGTGCAGTCACAAGCGGTATCACGTTTCCAAGTAAATACAAAGGAATTCTGTGTACTGCTGCTGTGTGATGGACAGAGGCATGTAGTCTTCTCAGAAGGTCTGTATTAAGCTGTTTACTAGATTCCCTCTACGTTTTATTTATCTCTTCACCTGAAAGTTACTATAAAATTTTCACATGTCATTGGTTCAAAAATGACAAAAATGTTATCCTGCCTTCTAAATTTGCTATGTGAATTGTTTGTTTTGGTAGACTAAAGGTTAGAGGCTTGCTTCTTTTCTGTTGTTTTACACATGGGTAGTTCCAGTATAGTTATTTCCTGCTTTACATCACTGTGAAGTAAAAGAAGAACCACACTGGGGCTGTGAATGTTATGTATCAAACGACATTAGGTGCATTCTGCCAGTTAAAGCTGGTTGGGAATTTTTTGATAATGCCTTTTTTGTTTTTTCCTTGAAGAAATGTTAGTCTGTCAAAGGTTTTCTGTTTTGACGTACTCCAGTAAAATGAAACCTCGTTTCCTACTAGTCCAGTGGGCAGGTTGTGGATCTAGGAATTGTGGGGGGAGCCTGGGAGCCCTTGGAAATAAGGACTCCTTGGCTCCTACATTTCCTGCTGTAGTCCCAAACATGCAGGAACCAGGTCTTAGCTCTCAGCTCTGCAGAGGGGAGCCTGGTAACCTAGAAAATGCTGGTTTGGCTAAGATCTGCAGGCTCCCTTCTGCAGAATTGAATGATGTTGCTTTTGCCATGTTTCCCAAGGCCTTTGTGTCTCACCCTCGGATAGGGAGTTGAGAAATATTCAGAACCCTAGAAGGACTGGGATGCTTGTGCTTCTTACAGAGGTGGTTTTATAGCTGGTAGTCATGGTAGAGTTCATGAATAATCAGAACTACAGAAGGTGAGGAAGTTAAGCTAAGCCAGAAGGAGCCTCTGAGCTTAGAAGATGGGGCTATTAGCTCAGTTTATTTAAAAACATCTTTTAAAAAGTGGTTATTTCAAAGCAATTTTTCCTCTTAGGCAAGGCTTTTCAAAATTGATCTTTTTGACATTTCACAGATATGGCATTTCATGGAACAGAAAATCCTCTTTTTAACAGCTCTACTTTTAGTGACAGAGGACTGTGTTCATCTTCTCAGTCAATGTCAGACTAGTACTCTGCCTGAGTTAAGCTGATAGAGCCCGAGCCTTAATCAGATGATTTTTCTCCTGTGCTTTGTTACCGTATTTTACTCCCCAGGTGACTCAACTGTGCATTCATTACATTCTCCCTATTCACTCTAGATAGTTCTTGACATGAACATATCAACAGCCAGCTGCAGTGACGAGTGAGACAAATTATGAGTTAACACATATTTCAAGAGGAAGATACTCCATTACCTGGAGATTTTTTCTTTTTTGTGGCTACTAACTTTGAGTTCAATATTTCAACAGTGAACACGTAACCACTGTACTCCTATTCAGAGAAAAGCACATGACTGCTTGATTTGTACGGTAATTCTTTATTTTTTATTTTATAAAACACTTCAATAAACCTATTCTCTCCCATAAACAAATAAGCTGGGGGAACTTGGGTTCATTTTACTTTTTGGTCAGAACATTAATTTTTTGGCTCATATGTCACCTTCTAAAAATCCATTGATGTATAGGTATAGTTATAGGTCTAATTAAAGACCTGAGCTGGAGGAATCAACTAGGTGTTTACTCACCATTTTTCAAGAATGTCATTGTGTGGCCACTGCTACAGGAACACTCTGAGACCATGCAGCAAACATAGTCAATGTACCTTGAACATACATAAAACAGTAGCATGTACATTGATATTTGGCCACCAAACACAGGGAGGGATCTAGTGTGGCTAAGTGATGCAATAATGAATTCAGAGTAACATCACCACTCTGGGGAGGCAGAATAAAAAATATAATGCTTTGTCAGTGAAAACCTTCTGCAAAGACTTCCTCCCTCCTCTGGAGCTCTGAGGAAGGTGTCTGCTTGTACTGTAATGTTAACTTCTGTAATGACACCAGGGTTTAATATCAGTGTCCCTCATCTCTTAGGCTTATTTTCCGAACCAGAAACAAGTTCAATAGTTTGTTCTGTCAAATCAATCCAAGTATATTTTATTGTAGTATTGCAGCCTCTGATTGTCTTTCTTACACAGCTGTTACACTGATGCCAGAGAGCTTGTTCTTGTATGAGTGGGGAGAAATAAGCCTATTCCACTAGTGAGGGAGACCCATAAATCCCTGTCTATTTCTGAAAGCTAGTTCAGCTTCTGGTCCCAGACAGACTGTGGTCCCATACATTAGAGAAAGTACAGTGTCAGATTAAAAATTGGTATTCTGCAGAGCATATCTAAAGTCTATAAATGGACTTTAATTTTTAAAGGTAAAAATGCAATATTAGTAATGGTTAGTTTAATTAGTTCATGGAATGTTATGAAAACCATAAAATCAGTTGAGCCAATATAATTAATCTGTTTTAAGGTTGTCTAAGAACTGAATGGGAATACTTCAAAACTTTCTTCCAAAACTCAGTGACATTTCATAGCAGGTTCATATTTATGCTTTTAGGAGTAAGAAGGCAAGACTATAAACCCTCCCCCCCACCAAAACCCACAACCCAAAACCCAACAGTGAACAAAAAAGCACCACCACCACCCACCCCCCCATGGCCTAGTTCCTCAGTAGGTATAAATTTGCACAGTATTTTTGAGTTCAATGAAGCTTTGAAAATTTATGGAAGTTCAGAACCCAGTTCAGTAAATTGCAGTCTCTGGAATGGGCTTATATGTATATCAGTATCTATGTTATTATCCCCATTTTCTTTATTTTCTTGGTAGTTCAGATATATCTTTGTATATTAATGAAGAAGATTAGTTTTATTGTGAGCATCTTTCAGAAGATTGTTTTGCATGTAATTAGGAGAAAGAGGTGTGTACATATTCTTCTTAATGAAATGGTAGGGAAGATCATATTGGAGTTCATAGATTTTAGCATTCCCTTGTTTTGGGGGGATTCATTGCACCTCTAACCTAAAACCTGTAAATGCTATGAAATTAGTAATGAGGGGTTTTAAATCGGAAAAATGAACCATAGCTAGTTGAACCACACAATATCTACAGTGTTGGAAGGCTGGCATTATCAAAAGAAAAACAGATATTTTTTTTTTTTAGTCATTTTAATCACATCAGTCATGTTGCAGCAAAGAATGCAAATATTCATATACTACAGATTGAGACTGCTCTGAAATGTTCTGACAATCTGTTATGTTTTGAGTGATGTTTCAACCCTATCACTTGGGTTTTTTGTTTTGTTTTTTTTTATGATGATAAAAAAACACTACTCATCTCTGTCACATGCTGTACAGGATAAAAAGCCTTTCAGTTTTCTTAACAAGAATCAGACGGCCAGGGTGCTGCTGGAACGCAGAGAATATGCCACTGTCTGTTCAAAGTACAGCTTAATGAGCCAGACTAAACACACTGGACAATAGAGCTGTGGAGGAAAAGTGCTTCTCGTGGATCTATGGATCAGCTGCAGCTTTAACATCTAACTAGTTTCATTTTTCATCTTTTACAAGTTCCATTTCCCTGTTTTGTTGGTATAAACTGCATTTCAATGAGCGGACTTTCCTGCCTAGGTGATGGTATTGTGTGCTTTGAAAAAGGGTATCGTGGATTATGCTAGAAATAATTTCTGTGTTTCTTTTTTCTCTCATAGTCACGACCTATTCCCTCACACCTTACTTCAGCAGTTGCAGAGAGTATCCTGGCTTCCGCCTGTGAGAGTGAAAGCAGAAATGCTGCAAAAAGGATGCGGTTGGATAGACAGCAGGTACTGTGTTGTTTGGGGGTCTACCACATCCATATTTATAAATGCACTGGACTCATTTAGAGAGGATGCCATGCAGAAGGGTGGTGCAATCCCTTATACATTTCTTGCTGGCAAGAATAATTAAAATATAAAAGCTGTAGTTCTTTAAATGAATACACAAGCATGTCTTTGTCTATATTTACATAAGGTGTATGAGGGTGTCTAGTATATTTATAATGTCCAGCTGGATAAAGCTATATATTTGCTTTTTAATGGTTGTAGATTTTGAGGGCACAGTGTTTAATCTGCGTACTAGAATTAAAAGGAACAGAATACACAGTATATATAATTTACATAAATAACAGAAATGGTGCATGTATCCATGAGTCAGTGTGCTTATCTGTGCACATACTCTCTTTCAAAATATGTACACATTTGTAAATGTAAGGTGAAATAGTGTCAGTTTCTGAAAATATCTATTTGCCTGAAACAGAAAAGTTATTGTGATATATAGCAAAATCCTGTCAATTAACTTATTAGTGAGTTTTTAAAGCTCATATCAATATTTATTTTATTTTTTTCTTATGAGATTATTCAACTATTATAGTGCATGTTAGGATTTAATTATTTTTAATTTGCTAGGAATTGCATGTTTTTCTTTCAATTTTTAGAAATCAAACTGGTAGCTCATTCCAGGCTTTGATTGTTTAATTGCTTCACAGATACAGTGAATGTCTAACATTCTTATTGCAGACTATTATGCTTTATTTCTCTTCATGATTATCACAAAGTCAAATCTTAGTAATACTCAGTTGTTCCAATATATGCTTCTGTCATGGTAGATGAACTTTTTTTGTGGAAAAGGACATTTTTTAAAAGAACATTTTCCCTTTATACATAGTCCATTGAGTTCTTTCAGGTCATGCCCTAACTGAATAAAGGATTCCTACTGCTATGCCTAGAACATTGATAGTTTAGTATCTGAGAGTGGATATTGCTATTTCTTTTTGCTGTCATATTTTTTGCTAGTATTTTCATTACTGTGGTACATTTGCCTTAAGATTTACAAATCACATGGGATGTCAAAGCACTAATGTATGGCTTAGTTTAGAAGTAGTGCTCATTCAGATTTTGCAGGTTTTATATTCTCTCATTTGTTCTCTGATTTTTCAGTAACAATTGAAAAAAAAACCCAAAACCCTACAAAGTCGATGTGCTTACCCCAAGGAGAACTAGAAAAGACTTGTGCAAACATCAGTTACTTTCATTGCGCAAAACTGGTGTCTCAATTCCTTGGTCTAGCCAGGGTGAGGCAGAGTTTTTGAGTGATTTAAATGAGAATCCCATAATACTCCCCAGAGAGCTGTTGAAACCAAAAATAATTTAAAAACTGTAGACAGAATTCAAAATGCATATTAGGAGGATATTTTTTTCTCTTATTTGTGGTATTACTATGACAGAAGGATTTGGTAACATTTATCATTGAGGGGAGAGGTATTTCTTTACTTTTCATTACAGAATTAAAAATCTGTAGGCAGAATGGCTCCAAACTGATCACCTTAATTACAATTGTGATATTAAAGTAGCAAAGCTGCCTACGAAGAATAGGTGTTGGGTTCTGCTTCCTTCAGCTCTGCCCTCTTTTTGGCAGTGAGTTCTCCGAACACTGTGGAGACAGTTGCAAATAGCACCAGCCATTTGATTCAGCAAGCAGTAAATTAGCTGGGTTGATATAGCTCTGGTGCTTGCAAAACTGTTTGTGAATTCAGGGTAGATTTGCTGAATAGTTTTGGCTGGAAAAAAATTATGGCAATGTGTGTTAGGTAGCTTCATAAAACTTGTAGTGAGAAATTTACCCTGCAGGGTGGAATAGTTAAGTCATTAGAGAAGTAGAAAAACTTCATTCTAGCCCCAGTTCCATTGAAATTTAATTATTTATTCCAAGTATGTGACATTAACAAAGTAGACCGAGAGCAAAGCATTCCAGAATATTTCTGAATGGGGTATTTAACACACACTACTGTGCTCTGTTCTTATGCTGAGATGGGAAGCGGACCTGTATCCTCACATCCAGGGAGAATGCCTTATAGGTAAAAGGGTTCTAACCTTCTCCTCTTCCTATTTTTGCCTTTTACTTACTTTTAAATTTCCTTCACTTTTCTTAGATATGTCCAAAGTGAAATACTTTCCTTGGATTTTTTTCTTAAACAGAGTAAGGTAGAAAAAGTTCAGTTCAGCATGTTGTTTTTACTGTTCCATAGCTCAAAAAAAAAAAAGATGCCTTGTTTACTTGTTAACATGTCTCCACTTTTCCTTTTTAAACATAAATTTCCAAAATTGGGCATTATGCCAATGGGTGGACTCAGGCTTTGAGGACCCTTCAGTGGAAATTTGGGAGGAGGAAAGGGGAAATAAGATTTAGATAATGAAAATTACCACTTCATAAATTATATCAAGAGGTCTTCTTATGGAGGACAACCATTAGACAGTCCTGGAAAGTAGATTGTTAAGAGGATCTGGTAAGAGCACTCATTCAGCACTTCCCCTCAGAGCTGAATGGAAGTGTTGCATTAAAGCTGCTTTATTCTTGCACACAGCACAGTGAAGGCCTGCCTTTTATTCTCCAGAAGGCTGATCTGCCTCAGAGTGAGATGTAACTTGCATCCCCACCACCACCTTTTTCAGAATATTACCCATAACACGTGAATGTATTAAGAACACGGTGAGTGTTATGCCCAATCCTGAAGCTAAGACAACACTTCAGCAGCTTCCTGAACTCCTTTTCTTGTCTTGTTTATGTTCTTTCCTCTTCTTCTCCATTTCTCCTCCTGTCCCTAGCACAACACAGTCCCTGAACAGGAAGTTCTGAGCATGTTGCATGTACGTCCCTAATGGAAGTCTGTACTTCAGTAAAATAATATGAACTTCCAAACTAAGTATGTTTTTGCCTACAGTGTTAATTTTAACAGTGGTTTGATGAAAAACCATCTCAATTATTGCTCAGCAAAAAGAATCAGCTTAAAAGTAAAAACTATGAAAACTTCTAAGAGTTCATTTTTTTCTTTTGAACTGATAGAGTATTAGCCATGCTCATGAGTATTAGCTGTTTCTTTCACAAGTATTAAATTTGAAGGATTGGCTTTATATACCTATAATCCTGTGCACAGATTTGTTATCTCTTCAGAATAAACCTCTCCAAAGTGTGTGTGTGTCTGCACACACACTAATACTGCATCTTATGAATGACTTTCTAGAAGTATTTCTGATAGCTGCAGTGCTTAATATAGCCCTGATCTAGGGATATTGTTAAGTGTGATAAAGTTAAGTCTGAAGCAGGAAGAAGCCATCCTATAAAACCCTATATGCCTTAAATTCCACTCATGTGATCTTTGTATTTCCTAACTCAAGGCTGAAAATTTCTGCCTACAAAAATCCAATTTTAAAAATAAGTTAATGAAAACTGGTCTCACTGGCATCAATTACTTATTTTCCAAATTGTTTTTTTCATGGCAATAATTTATTTCATAATGGGAAAATCAATGTGATCTTGTCTGTCAGGAAACTAGTAACTTCCCATAGTTTTTGAAGCTGCAACAATAAAAGCATTGGCAGTTTCTGAGACTTCTCTGTAAGGAATATAAATGTGTTTACTAGGTCACGGTAGCTTGGACTATAATGCTTTGGCTGTCTGACTGTGTTAGATGTTACTCAAGTGCTCTCTTTAGCTTCAGTGCATTTTCATTATCTTGAGATCAAGCTCTGCTGGTTGGCCAGTAGCTTAAGTGCCGAGAAGTTATATATTTGATTCCTATTACCCAACTGAAGAGTTCTATCGCTTCCACTTTTTAATTCTGCCTGGTAGTAAAAATAATTTATTCCCTTGCACAAATTTTATAGATTTATATATTGAAATTGTATAGGATTACTGATACTACTGCCAAACAGCGAAATGCTCATGACACTGGGCTGGATTTGGTTGATCTTTCCCAGTCTAGATCAGGCAGTGGGTACAGAGGCAATGCAGAGCTTTTGTGTTGCTCTCCAAGTCATCTTTGCTGAGTCTGGATACTGAAAAAGGGTAACTCCAGTCTTGAATTTTGAGGACTTTTTTCATCACAGTTGATAAAAAATGTAGAAACAATAAAAAATGTAGAAACAATAATTGGATCGACCTTCTGTGACTTGCTTCAGTCAGAGATAGAAGATGCAATCCTTAAGATTTCCTGTGCTTCTGAGTGATATCTTGGGATGCTCTCCTGGGATAATCCTTCAAGATCCTTATCACATTTCTAGCAATATTCAGTGTGAAGCAGTTGCACTGAAGTGGAGGTTCTGAACTACTATAAACGAGGGAGTAATGAAACAAATTAAGTAGAGCTAAAATACAGCCCTTTTTACATGCATTCCTTATATATGGTAAACAGGATGACTTCTTTTGTTGTGTCCTTCACTTTACAAACCAAATTGTGTCTTGGTTGGACAAAAGGAGAATGGTTAAATAAATAGAAAAATCTGGAAAAAGTCATCCTGTCATTACTGTCCTGGGCAGTGAACCGAGGTTGGGATGCCTGTTTTGTGGGCTGCCGCTGCAGAGGCCTCAGGCCTGTGGCTCTACTTGTTGATCACAGAAATGGAAGGTTCGCTTTAAGAGCTTAACCATTGTCAGTCTTTGCTTCTTCCGAACAGGTATGTGCGTGGTGTAGTTTTTGTAAAACCTCATCATAAAACTGTCTGGAGCACTGTTGGGCTATGGTACACTGTGGAAAGTGGAGGTGGATTAGTCTTGTTACTGTCCTGTCTGAAATCAAAAAGACCAATGAAAATTCTTCAAGGGAAGACCTAAGAGGAATAGTACTTTATATACATCAGTATGTGAGAGGACCTGCCCCTTTATTTTTCCTAAGGGAGATGAAAAGGTGAAATCTTCCTTTGGCAAAGCAAATAAGGATGATAGTAGGAAAAAATTGCCTTCACCTTTATTTGGACACAAGTGGTTTTTGTAACAGCTGCCTTTTGTTTCA